TTTCTTGCTTCTTTCGAGGAACCGGACACTGGCGCTTGGGTAAGGCGTTCTCGCAGCAAAATCCTTCGTGAGGTCTATCTACTGGGCTTGAGTTTGAGGTCTACACCGTAGGTAGGGTCTTCTAAAAACCACATGAACCTTCACTCTTCTGTCTGAGGAGGGCAAATATAGGTATAAAGCCTGGGCGAGTGTCTTTGTCCAGCGCGAGAAAGCTCGGAATTGAATGCTTTGAATGCGCAAAATGAATGCTTTGGAACAGTTGGTACTTTCAGATCAAACTCTCCATGATATATTAGGTTGTTTCACCAATCTGTTGAATTGGAATAGAGCTCACGACCGTGAAACCCCTCGTTGTTTGATGGCACCTATCTTGTTCCCTTCGGGGAGAAATACTACTCTTGTTTTTCTTGTTCTTCTTTCTCGAAGAGATGGGTGCACCGCCTTGGAGAAGGTAGCGTGCCTCCAAGGTAGGTGGTACATATATATACATACATGTACATATACATATATATACATACATGTATATATACATATATATATATACATACATGTATATATACATATATATATATACATACATGTATATATACCTATATATATACATACATGTATATATACATATACATATACATACATGTATATATACATATACATACATGTATATATATAATCAACCATGCAGCAAACAGGGCCATGTAAATAAAAAAAAATGGTGCACCGATCTTTAGTCCCGGTTGGTAACACAAACCGGGACTAAAGATGGTTTGGCCGGCCACGTGGCTGACCGATCTTTAGTCCTGGTTGGTAACACGAACCGGGACTAAAGATCGATCTTTAGTCCCGGTTATTTCACTCGGGACTAAAGATAGCTATCTTTAGTCCCGGATTCGTAGTCCCGGTTGGACAACCGGGACTAAAGGGGTTACCAACCGGGACTACAAACGGTTTCTCCACTAGTGTCGGCACGCCACCAGAACGACACGTGACAAGACAATGCACACCAGCCTCGCGATAGGCTTTCACCACCCTTGTGTGGATAAGGGTGGACTGTCAGGCAGTATGATTGACTGCCATGCCGCGAGACTGGAGCCACAACCATCTCGCAGTTTCTCTTATCCGTGGCTGATAGGCGGGCCCACGGGCGTCAACCGTGTTTCAGGCTTCTACTCTAAGCTTTGCTAGCATGCTCAGGACACGCGGCGGGTCGGCAAGGTCTCCGTTCCATCTAGGCTTGACGACCAGGCCCACTCACCAAGAAGAACCACGACCAACATATACCTAACCCCTATGTTGAGGCCCATTTGTAAGAAACCGATCATTGTGATATCCCCTTGCAACTATAAAGGAAAGACCAAAGGCCACTTAAAAAAGAGAGGAGCTAAGTTAGATTCTAGCCTCATAACACTGAAGGGTTCATCCTCTACTACTTATATCAACACTAAGAACTAATTGTAAGCTTCATCATATAGAGCAAGAACATTGAAGCGGCCTGAACCTGTCTAAACAGCCTATCCCTATACTCTGCACGATTATCACCTTGTTTCCGTGCACCCGCTGCCTGGCCGAATCCCAAAAAAGGGGTGCCACTCCTCCTCGCTAGAGGAGCTAAGGCTATGACAACGGAAGTTAGATGTGGAGCGTGTCTAGTGGCCTTGTGGGTGAGCCGCTAGGAGTACCGATCGTCTAACAGCTAGGAAAACTAAACTCTCCAAAAGGCTCAAAATTTGCCAATCTAACCAGTTAAAGATAAGAACGATTGATGTAAAAGAAATAAAGTAGAGCATTACAACTTAGCTGCGTGCATTTCAACAATTATGGCATCCATGACTTTGTCCTAGCGCAGACTCGAGGGCAGCATAGCAGGACATGAGTTTGAGGATGTGTATATAGATGGCCAAATGGGCCGGTCGGCCTGGCCTGGCTTGGGCATGACCAGGCCTGAGCCTGAGAATAGTCGGGCTGGCACGGCGCAACCTACTGGGCCGGGTAGTGCCTGCCCACGGGCTGCATTAGCGGCCTAGGCACAAAAACCCACCGTGCTCCTCCTTAGAATAAATCTATTTAGCTTGCATGGCTGGAAAAAGTCTATTACGTGTCCCTCATTTCTTTGGGCCATGCTTATTGGCTGAAATAAGTCTATTTTGCCTCCCTGATCATTGGACCTTGCCGTGCGGGGCCAGTCCACCTTGTCGAGGTAGAGGACCATGCACACACTACTACAGCACCAATTTTTCCGTGCGGGCTAGCCAATTTTCGCCTGTGGGTGGGCGGCCCGCATGCACCCAATCGTCTGGGAAAACCGATTAACAAAAAAAGAAACAAAAAAATGAAAAAAGAAACCCTAACCCTAACCCTAATCTGCCGCCGCCTAGCCGAGGCCCGCCGCCGTCACCCTCGCGGTCGCCCATCACCGCCGTCGCCCTCGCGGTCGCCCGCCGCAGAACACATCAAGAGAAGACATCACACATCAACAAGAACACATCACATGAACACATCTCACATGAACAAATCACACACAAAAAACACAAGTAACAAAGAGAGGAGGGGGAGAGATAGATCCGGTCACCGGTTGCCGACGCATGCCGGTCCCCTTACCCTCCGCCGGATCTGCAAGGGAGGAGAGGAGAGCCGTGTGGCACCGGCCGACTCGTGCCACCTCCCCCGAATCTGCAAGGGGAAGGAGGGGAGGGGGCGGGCGCCGCCGGATCCGCGGCCCCCAAGCCTCCCCTCCGCCGAATCTGCACGGGGAGGGAGGGGAGGGTGCGCGCGCCGCCGCCGCTGTTGCCTGTGACCGCCGCCACCGCCGCGTGCTCTCCTCCCGCCGCGCGCCGCCCCCTCCCCCGGATATGCAAGGGGAAGGAGGGGAGGGGGCAGGCGCCGCCAGATCCGCCACCCCCAAGCCCCCCCCCTTCGCCGGATCTGCACGGGAACGGAGGGGAGGGGGCGCGCGCCGCCGCCGCTGTCACCCGTGGCCGCCGCGTGCTCTCCTCCCGCCATGTGCCGCCCGATCCACCGCCCCCTCCCCCGGATCTGCAAGGGGAAGGAGGGGAGGGGGCGAGCGCCGCCGGATCCACTGCCCCCAACCCCCCTCCGCTGGATCTGCACGTATGGGCGACAGCCTGGAGCCTGTCCCCTATTTTTCCTTGCGGTTTCACTTACGATCCGTATGGGAAAAGGGGGGGGGGCGTCCAGGAAAATCTATTCTGTAGTAGTGACAACCCAATGGTTGGGTCGGGCCTGCACAGGACTGACCCAGTTAAGCCGTGTTGTACTAGGGCTGGGCCGTCCGGCCCCAGGCCTTTTGGCATTCTATGGATGTGTACATTGTCCGATTGGGGCAGTATCGGATGTACGGGAGCAATGAGCCGGGAGGGGAGTACAATCTGAGCATACAGGATCCGGACTCCCGAACGGACGCGCCCGCGAGGAGCGACACGCTGTAGCAGTCGACGGATAAATTTTGGCAATTTGACCTTTTAAAAAACTTATTTGAAGAATAGACCATGTCAAAAATTTATTACAAAAATATATCAAAACCTCAGCGCTAATGGGTTTAGCGCTGAGTTATAATATCTCAGCGCCACATATTTTGGCGCTAAAAACCTATCCGAGTAGCCACTATACATCATATCATTGGATCTGAGCGCCAATACCACAGGCGCTAAGGTTTTGGTCTATTTTTGCAATATGTTTTTGACATGGCCTATTCTTGAAATAAATTTTCTAAAAGGATCAAATCACTACTGGAGAACTAATTTTTGTTGGGTCAACCAAAAATCACAATAGTCCCGGTTACAAAAAGAACCAGGACTAAAAATCATCTTTACCCTGGTTGAAAAGCCCATAACCATTTTATGATCTTTAGTCCCGGTTGATAACATCAACTGGGACTACATATCATTTTCAGTCCCGGTTGAAAAAGTGTCCGCCCTCCTACCCGTTTTATTCCCGTTTGGAAACACCAACCGGGACTTAAAATTGGCGGATAATATATAATCCCGAGCACTTATCCTCCAACCACCTCTACCCTTATCCTCGTCCACTCTTTTCTTATCTTCTCCCTTTCCTCTCGCTCTTTTCCTCTAACTTATCCTCTCAAGTGAGCGAGCAGGCGGGCACGCAAGGGAGCTAGCGAGGCCGGCGACAGAGGGAGGCGCGGCGGGCGGCGACGTGCGCGGTGGTGGCCGGTGGCCAACGGCCTACGCCTCGGTTGGATCTGAGTTATTTTTTTTAGAATTTGTGATTCCAATGCAGATTTGATTTGTGATTAATCTATGATGTATTTGATTTGTGTGCGATGTGAATATGTGATGTATTTGTGATGATATTTTTAGAACTTGTGATGTAATTTTTTTTTATGAATTTGTGATGTGTGTGTGGAGATGATCGATTTGAGGATTTGGAGATGATCCTTTTGTTCTGTGATTTGTGAGGATCGATTTGGGATTTCACAATTTGGGGATGATTTTGGGATGGAGTGAAATCAATTTTCAATGTTAAAAACAATGAAAGAAAAGAAAAAAACTGGCAACCGGACCTGGCTTGGCTCCATCTTTAGTCTCGATTGGTAACACTAACCGGAACTAAAAATGAATTTTTAATCCCGGTTATTTCACCTCCCGGATTCATGGTGCCGGTTGCATACCGGGAATATTGGGGGTTACCAACCGGGAGTAAAACCCCCTTTCTCTAGCAGTGAACTGTCAAAATTTTGGCAAAAACTTTACGGATATTTTAAGTAGGTATCTAATCCGTAAAGATAAAGATAAAGAATAAAATAAACATAAAAATAAATTTGATCATCGACTTGTGGCAAACATAAAATTCCTTTATTTAGGATGGAGCCATTGATGGACTGGACATATCCGTCTCAACAAATGACTTACCATCATACATCTATAGTGCAGGTGATAACATTTTGAGCTTGCATATCTTGCAGAGCTACTGTACGATTATTTAAACCACCCTAGTTCTATTATTCGACGCACTAGGGAGTTTTATATCCTTGAACTGGAGCCTATAGCTTCGTCGAATGCAGAAGACGCGCATGCATGCACGCACGCATCGACGCATGGTGCGTCATGCATCATGGCTCGGCATAGAGATGGTCCGGCAGCCTGGGCTTGACAACGGCGAGGAGAGGGATCTTCCGCGGCATGGTGAGCCCGAAGATCTCTTCCATGCTCAGCTCGCCGGCAGCGATGCCGTCGGGGAGGTTCCAGGAGAAGGCGTGCAGCAGGTTGGCGAGGGCGAGCTGGATGACCTTGAGACCGAGGCTGTACCCGGGGCACATCCGCCGGCCCGTGCCGAACGGCAGAAGCTCGAAGTCTCGCCCCTTGACGTCGATCTCGCTTCCCACGAACCGCTCCGGCCGGAACTCCTCCGGCGAGTCCCACAGCGACGGGTCGCGGCTGATGGTCCACGTGTTGACGAGCACGCGCGTGCCGGCGGGGACGTCGTAGCCGGCGACGGTGGCGTCCTCGCGAGACATCCGGGGTATCAGCAGCGGCGCCACCGGGTGCATCCGCATCGTCTCCTTCATGATGGCGTCGACGTAGGGGAGGTGCGGGATGTCGCTCTCTGTCACCAAGCGGCCACTGCCGACGACGTTGTCTAGCTCCTTGGTGGCCTTGGCGAGGATCGCCGGATTCTTCAGGACCTCTGACATGGCCCATTCCACGGTCACTGCACTGGTGTCCGCGCCACCGGCGACAAGGTTCTGCACAAGGCATATATGCCAAACGGTGCACTGTATCAAAATGTCGTCCTAATAGTTATATCAAAAAATAGGATAAAAATTAGACAATACAAAATTACTATATTTATTAGAAAGAAAAGTTAAATTCGACTTGCACAGAGGGAAAATTTCAAGCTGTGAACACTATTATTTTTTTTTCACGTGACTACGACGAGACCGTACGCTGGATTGTTACTATTAGTCTACGACGAAACCGTACGCTGGATTGTTACTATTAGTCTAGTACACCCAAAAGTGCATGCATTTTTTTTTTGTTCTTATAGAATTTTCTCTTAAATTACTCATCCGATTTACGATCCGATTTCATGATTATATTTTTTATGAAAAAATACAAATTACTTTTATAATTTATCTAAATTACTTTTAGATTTTATTAAATTGCTTCTTAGTCATAAAAGTAAATTCACTGAAGCCTGAAAGTAATTTACATATACTATATAAGTAACTTAAAAGAAAAGGAAAGTAACTTGTTATCGCATTAAAAGTAAATATGTTGTGGGGTAAAAACATAAGTCTATCTAGAAATTAGATTTAATTGATGTGTTACCCCACAACTGATTTACTTCTAATGCCGTGAGAAGTTATTTTCTTTTTCTTAAGTTACTGCTATAATATATATAAATTGCTTTTAGGCCTTATTAAATTTACTTTTATATATCTAAGATGTAGTTTAGTAAAATCTAAAATTAATTTGTATTTTTTTATTAAAATATAATCATGTAAGATCTTGTTGTAAAGATTTAATTGTTACGGACACAATAGTGTATTCGGATCGTAGTTCGGATAAGTAAATTAAGAGAAAATTTTATTTGAAGCAAAGGTGGTAGGAACATATTTGATACTTACTTGATAGACAAGTAGTATATTTGGACAACATCTGATGATGTCACTTGTTAGCACTAAAACGAGATGTCTCTCGATTTAGATTTTGCTGGTTTTTTTTCACACGTTAGTTCAACTAGAAAGGTAGCCCGCGCATTCGCGCGGGCATATAAGATACGCTTTTGTAAGGTGTAATATCGACCGGGTGACACACCACTCTTGAAAAAATACAATTTCTTATAAATTTTCTTCATCTACATTGCTCAGATATTTTTTTACAAGATATCTGTAAGGTTTAAACTATATAATATTTAATTCACTACTATAAGCTGCAATTATCAGTAATTCTTCATTTTCTAGAAAAAAAGCGTCAATAAATACATAGGAGATATACATATTGTACAGCTCGCTTCCCTATTATATATGTGATCTTTAGTGTTTTTTCTAAAAACATACCTAGTCAACATGAGTCCTAAACTTAAAGTTAATAGTAGCATATAGATAACTTTTTAACCAACTATATGTTTTATATATGTAATAATTCGTTGAAAAACTCATAATGACATGATATAAGATAGATGGATGGTCATTAACATCTAAGCACTTAAACATGGTTATGGCGATGGAACATATAATGGTTGTTCCAATTTGTGAAAAGTAATAACTATTTTTTACAAATTTATTATATTCTGCCCAATTGATTTAATTCAATCCCTATTGGAATTTTTCTATTTTTCTAATTTACTTTATACAACTCTTATTTTATGTTCAAAATGCATAATGGATCATGAATTGTTGTTTAATTATTTAATAGAGCAACAATTAGATTAGAAATTAGATGTATAGCTTAAAATATGGGTTTTTCAATATTATTCATAGTTTGTCTTTAAATTTGATAGCTAAAAAGTAGGAATAGGGAGGAGTGGAGTGCGAAGAGCCTAAGCTAAAGGGGAAGGGGGCGTTTGGTGTTGTGTGCATGTTATGGGGACGGTGAGGAATTGGAGACTTTATTTTCCTGCTTTTTCCTGAATAATTTAAGTAAAACCGATGATCATATGATTCTCCCTGCATGTAGATTTGAATTAGTGTAATATATTTGTCAAGCGATATTTGACACCAAGTTGATCCTTTTTATCATGTGAAATTATTTAAAAAAATTTCATGTCATCAATTATTATATGATGGCATTAAGTGTCATATGTCGGCACCATGTATTTAGCACTACAATATAACTTTTATATGTGATTAATATTTTATTTAAATAAAGGAATACAATAGATTATAAGTTAGATATATATTTCATAAATAATTTAAAATATGAACATTTAAATGTTTTTCATAATTTTTTTTATAATTGTTTGAATGTACGCAAAAGTGTAAGAATATAAACCAAAATCAAACATATTTATTTCAAAAGTTTGAATATTGTGAATATGTGTCTTTAACTTTAGTTATAAATAATATAACAAAAATAAGTCGATCAAAAATTCACTATATGCTTTGGATGATACTGTTCTCTATTTTTTTAATAATAAATTATGATTTCTAAGTAATGTATCATGAGAATAGGAGGAAAAGAGAGGTATGGTGTGTTTGAGGGTGTGGGCAGTGGGGTGGATGAATGAGTAAGCGCCCATGTACGGGGCCGTGGTGGAGGTTGGTATATGGGTTCTATTTTTTAAAAGAAAACGATGGATCTAATGGTCATAAATATGTCTTGAGAAACTAATAGTTAGTCCATAGGTAGGGTTTTATTTTGTCCACGTTACATGTCAACTCAGCTATTATCATTCTTACTTGTTTTTATTATCCTTAAAGCGGGATGCATTTTAAATAAATGGATCTGCATCTATACCACTAAAATAAGCCCAATATATTATTAATACATAAAACATTTATATCTACTACAAACATAAATGTTTATGTCAACCCTTGTTTCTAAATCTATGAATAAATATTCTATAATTATTGTTCCTAATGGTTAATAAGATAACACTGTTAAAATCAAATATGAATGCCCCCTTTAACAGGTAATAAAGCCGACCGTAGTCGCCGAGGCTTTATTTCTCCACTGCGATATATTTATCGAGGGATATTTGACACCAAGTTGATCCATTTTATCATGTGAAATTATTTAAAAAATTATCATGACATTATGACATTAATTATTATATGTTGGCTAAATTATTTAAAAATAATTATGACATTAAGTATTATATGACGGCACCATGTATTTAGCACTACAATATAACTATTATATGTGATCAATATTTTATTTAATTGAAGGAATATAATAGATTATAAGTTACATATATATATTTCATAAATAATTTAAAAGATGAACATTTAAAGACAGTTGATTTGATACTTTATATTAATCTTGTTTAAACTGTGCATATACATGGATATATGCGGAGTAATAAATTTTATTTTATAATATAGAAAATTCTACTTTAAAACCGCCGTTCTATCAGCATACAGCATAGTATGTTTTTTTTCTGGCTTTATAGCTGTAGATACGTATGTTTGTTTGGTTTTTTGAAGTGAACAATACATATGGGTAATATCCAATTATAGTGTACGTTAACTTTTCTCGTGAAAATTTCTCTTCTATATATCGGACATTAAGAAGCAGCTGTGATTAGATAATGGGCCTACCCGGACATTAAGATGAACCAGGGATTTTAAAATAGATCCAATCTAACGGTCTAAAATAATGGGCCTACCAGTTTAAGTGAAAATCGACGGTTAGATTAGAAAGTGCTACGTGGCGATTTAGGAGCGTTTGTAGGAACGCCACGTGGCAGCTTAGGAGCGTTTCTAGGGAGTTTAATGGACTTTTAGTATATAATAGATAGAAGATAGATAGATAGATAGATAGATATAAGCTTATTTTGATATAATATTTTTTTCACGTTATTCAACTCCAGTGTAACTGTCTTTCACTGTAGCTAGCCATAATATATTTGTTCTAACTTGTACAAACTCTAATACAGTAATTACTTAAAATATAAGCTTATTTTGATATAATATTTTTTAGAGAGAAGGCTCTTGGCTCTGCTTTTATAAAAAGTAGATAGATTTTTTTTAGAGAAATGTATTTTTTACCCAGCATCTATGTCCAACCAGATATTTGTAACATTTTAAATCAGAACTTGAACCGACAAACAACCTCATTTAAATTGGGAACGTAGCCTCGCAAATAACTCAATAAGAAATTCGCTCGTATAAAAATTTAAACTCATGATTATCATAGAATGCTACTCAAGTCACTGCGACGCTGACTCCTCCCAGACAGCTCTCTCTAGGGAACCAAAATTAGCTCGTCTGAACGTTAGGTAGCTCAGGCCATTTTTCAATTTCCCTGCAACCATGACTTTCTGTTGGTTACAGATCTCATACCAACCGAATTAAATTTAAAAATATACTGTTCATATAAATACTTCCTCTATTTTATTTCGTATTATAAGACTTTCTAGCATTGCCCACATTCATATAGGTGTTAATGAATCTAGACATGAAACAGAGGGAGTATTTAGCATGCATGTCACAAATATACCATCAATCTCACTAGACTATTGAGCGAAAAAGATGACGCAAGCCATATCGCGCTGGGACAGGCAAGACCGCACGGTCTCGCAAAATAGGACAACAAGACTGATCGGTCTCGCATATAGAATCAGCGACAGCGAACGTCCATGTAATTAGGGATTAATTACCCTGATTAGCAACTAATTAATCAAATAATTAATTAGCAGCCTCTCCGCACGACACTGCACGGTCTCACGCCGTGATCGTGCGAGACATTATATTTCTATCAAATAAATTACATTCTGAATATTCTTAAGAAAAGAACAAACGAACAATATATTTTCAAATTTAATTCTCTACCTAACCAAACATCTTCCCCGAGAAATGTGTTTACCTGATCCTAATTTCCATTCAGCCCCTAGGACAAATCATATTCTGATACTTAAAATCCCTCTCCAAAAGTGTGAAGCACCAGCTTCATTTGCCTGGAACACCCCACTATCTCCAACGTACGTATTTGTTTCTCAAGATATCTAAGCATAAACTCTTTTCCCTATATATCTAAGCATAAATTTGATATAACTAGGAAGGTAGTCCGTGCATTCGCG